AGTACTTATCAGGATCTTTGTAAAAATGGGCAAGCATAGTTTTAAGTGCAGTTCTTTGTGTACTTCGTGTTCGTAAGACTGGAAGTCATACTATCTTATATTAAAACAGTACGTGTGTTCAGGTCTTGTCAGCAACAAGTCTGCATGCCTCACTCACTTAGGGGACATCTCTGAATAAGAGTAGGCCTGTTCTCCCTGTGACTTCACAAATTGATAAGCACTGTGAATCATCCTCATTGGGGCAAATAAGATTCCCGTAGACAGCATCATAAAACCATTCTGCCACGTAGGGACGAGAGACCTCATGTCCCAAGAGACAGGATAGAAGGGCCATAAAATTGGCAAGACATGCAAGAAAGCACCACTTCAAAAGGATTATAGTAAATTCGGATTTTATCGAATAAATTCATAGTTTCAGATCTAGAGAATATATTTGAAACCAAACTACATGGATTAAGGGTCAAAGAAGGGTCAAATACTAACTGGTCCCTCTAGAGGTGAAGTGAGGTACATCACCTCCCATTTTTTACATACTGTAGGTAATTGGAATTTAGAACCAATAAAATAGCATCCGTTATTCTTTGTTGGTAGCAGACTGCACAAAGAACTGGTGACGTCAGCGCCCTCACTGCGCGTAGCAGGTACCTCAGCTGCCTGGGCTGAGGGAGGTCTCCTTTAGCTCACTCGGCTGGTTCCCTGTTGCGTTACGCCGGAGACCCGGGTTCGCGCCCCAGGTGCTGCGGGACAGAACGGGTGGCGGGGGGCACGATCCCGCACAGAACCGCGGCGATCACATTACCACATCACTTCCCTTATTCCCTTATAAAAGGGTTAACTCAATCCATCCATTTTCTAACCACTTGATGTAATACAGGGTTGATGGGGAACCACAGCCTATCCTGGCAAACAAAGGGAGCAAGACACAAAACACCTTGGACAGGATATAAACAGTTATTCGTTCACTTTAATAGTTTTATTCGTTTTTGAATGAATTTCTAAATTCAACGTGTTTCTCACATGGATAGAAATTTAAAGACATTCTAGAAGCTGTTTGTTTTTATTTTACTCTAATAGATTACATTGATTGCTACAGCCAGGGGAATGCCACATATTAAGCACTGAATACTTCTTTAAGTCAACATAACACATTGTAACAGTGCATTGTTAAATTAGATTAATTGCTTTATTTTCATTTCTTTGTTTCTTAACTGCTCTTTTCAGTGTCTATCCAGTGCCTGATCACAATAGAACACTTTTCTTGGTTAACATGCTGATTCTCTGCACTGATTGGACAAACTATATATACAGTACTAACACTACATGAGCTTTTTATCTGCAATAGGGGTACATATTGTACAGCGTAGCTCTAAAGTCAGTTTACAAGAAGGATGGTTAGAAAAATGTAGTGCATATAAACCTACATCTTACTCGTCAGGCAAATAAACTCAATACAAGTATTTAACCTTCTTAAATGTGAGTGATTGCTAGGTTAAACTAGACTGATTTTTTTATTCTTTTCTATCTGTATCCTAATTCTATTAGAAGATCCAGCACTTTGAACAAATCCCTTTCTTCCAAGTACTTTGATAAGAATTTATGCAGATGACAGTTTCAGCTGTCAAGCTTATTCTCTGAAATGTATCCTCAGCATCATTTTCATTAGACTACAAGCCATTATAAAAAAGAAAACCTTTTAAATAACTTCTTTAATTGCTGACAGAATAACAGGCTGAAATGAAAGTTAACAGGAATTAAATTGTCCATGGATGAGAGTTTGATTTAGATAATGGCTTCTTAACAGTCATAAAATCAATCTGTTTAAATGTATTTCCCAAATGCAAATGTTATTTCATTTGATCAAAAAGGATTTTCATCTCTTTTGATAATTTATATGATGCGAACCTTCATCTATTCAATTTTCAAAAAGTGATGAAAAGAGAACTTTGTGATTTCTTTTTTCCCTGATGTGCTTATAGAGAATGAGCTTATAGAAAAAGAGATGGATGGCCAGATACACAATTGATAATACAAACTGACAGTATTTTGTATTTTTTTGTTGCCTATAGTTTTATCAGTTATTGCATTGCAAGTGCAAGAAGAATATTTTGAAATGTAATCAACTGTTACAAACAAAACTTGTACACCACAATTCAGTAGATATTGCCGTACATATATATATAAATATTATATTTAAATGTTACATGTTTCATCACATCTCAAAATAAAGGCTATACAGATTATTTTTGTGTTTCTTACTTTTGTTTACTGTAGGTTTCTTTCTTTACAAAACAGAGAAAACACTTTTTAACATCTGTATGTAAGATTCACAATTAAAGAAAAGCTCTGTCTCTTCAACAGAATAAATAGAAGATTCCAGTGGGGGGAAAAAAACAACTTGTGTTATTGTGCATAAAATAGATTTGTATACATGCCTTGCAATCTCTCTATTGGTTTCTCCCGAGTGTCGGCATACTTGATGATCGATATGTGTGCACTCCATTACCTACAGTACTGTTAAGATTAAGACATATTAGAAAAATTCTTAATTCTTAAAGTTCATACTTTCAAGCAGCTTTCTTTACCTTTAATTACTCAGAGTTTATGCATTTGTTAATTAAGCCTGCAAATATTTTCTTAATATCCTTAAGTTTTAAATTAATTCCGACCTAATATTGATGGTCATTTGTTTTTTTTTTTAGATGAATATCTAGAAAGGCCATTGTGTATCCTTTGTAGTTGAATTGTTATTTTTTTTCATTTGTGACATTTACTTCTGATTTTGTGCTAATTGTCTTTGAAATCACAAGTTGAAATGTGTCAGGTTTAAAATAGCTCTGTTTAGAAGTTAAAAGAACAGATTTATTTTTGTATGCAAGGAAATCACAGCTGTGAAGTGTGAAGAACTGTCTACCAGCTCAAATAATTTTAGTGCAGTTGCTATCTGTAGTATCCAAATCAGTACACTTTTCCAGAAGCTCCACATTGGAATTCAAAGCATAGCTATCATCTATGTGTAAACAAGTTGATAAAGCTTGAACTTTTTTTGTCATTTAAGGACAGCAAGAGTAGTTTAAAACTTTAATGCATTTCATTTTTTAAGTATATTAATAATTCATGATTTAAGTCTGTGTATACAGAGCTCAAGGTATCCTATACTCTCCAATGACACTAAATTATTCAAGTTTTCATTGTTTTGTCTTCTGTCCTTTGGCAAATTATGACAAAAAACACAAAATACAGCTTCGTTTAGATTGGGTTAAACACGTTATTAACAAAAAATGGTACTCTGAATATCACTTATGTTACAGTACACATAGCCAAAATGGAAGCACATGTTTTCCACAATCATCACATCACATTAGTATAAAAATCAAAGAAACTTGTACTGTACACCCCACAATTAAGTACAATACCCCTCCCTGTGAAATCTGTCCACTTTCAAATCACAATTTAAATGTATTTTTGTTTAAATTGGCATTCCTTTGCATGTAAGAATTATTGATGTATTTTGTTTAAATGTTTTGTTTTCTTGAGTTATTATATTATAAAATGTGTTTAATTTTTTCTGAGATGAACTGACAAGCCACACAGAGTATACCCTGCCTTTTGCCTATTGCTTGTCAGGATAGGCTTCATCTCTCTTGTGACCTTGTACTAGAAAATTTAATGAATGTTTTATTTTCCATCATAATCCAATTTTATTTATGAGAGCTTTACTGCAATCTGTAAAATATCACATCTAATACAAGACAGAAGCACAAAAACGTGGAAACAAGGAAAATAACCCAGCAAACTTAATTTCACTTAAAGAGAGGGTTTTAAGCAAGTTTCTAAAACCTCAGCAATGTCAGGCAGTTCAACTGCACATGGAAATGTTTTATGAGTTGTTTTGTAGGGTCTTGTCTTTGGCAGAGTAAGAAGACCATAATTAGCTGACCCAAGGTTATAAGAAGGAATATAGCATGTAATTAGTATGTAATAAGTGAAAAGCTGCTGTTCTGCAAGGTGAGCTTCAATCTGTCTCCTTACACCGGTTGCCACAGATCTTTATCTCCTAGGGACATGGAGCACTTGTAGTCAGTTTTTCACCACGTTTGTCCCGGGTGTTCTTGCAGATAAGCACTCAGATTTGACAGATCTCGGGGCTCTGTCATTGAGTTTCAACTCTGAGCTCTTCGAGGGCTCTTCAAGAGTTCCCCTCTGAATCCTCTCGTATGACCCCTCATCTTTGTTAGTCTGCAGGGTTTCTCGGATCTGACCCTGGCCATGTACTGACCCATGGGCTTGGTACTGTACATTTAGCTCGCCAATTGGCAAACAGCCTTCACCTCATCTCCAGAGCATGTTTCCCTCTTGGTTCCAGTAAAATGTAGCTCTGAGTAACTGCCTGTGTAGTTTCTCTAGAGTTCACTTGAAGTTCATAAAGACAATTCTGGAGGACAAACCCAGATTTCCTCCAATCATAGACCCTCTATATGATAATTCCTTATTTTTAATCAAATATCTAACAATAATATTTGTAATACCCCTCGCACATAAATCTTTAAAACCAAGCAGGTTAAAGCCAAACATGTAATTTCCACTTATTTGCTGTCATGCTCACCCTGGCTGCTGGACAGCAGGGCGAGCTAGCTGGGACATATCAGCCAGTGACATCATCATCAATCTGTCTCCCTTCCCCGGCTACCAAAGTAAACTGATCACCTAAATCACCAGGGGTGGGTTTATGACCACACCCTTCTTCAGGTAATCTTGTTTTTTTTTACAGTAAATGGTTAATTTCAACCATTTAACATACAAAACAGACGGTTTAAGTAATCTGACATTTTGTTTTAAATTTTACTTAACAGCTTTGATTGAATGCTGAATAAGGCTTAGCTCCCACACCTTAAATCTCTTGCTTTGGGTAAAAGTAGGATTGTTTCAGTAACTTGTGTGCTTTGTTCCATCTAGAGAACTGTATTGTGTTCTGCTCATGATGTATCTCTTTTGTATTTCAGACTTTGGATAATGAAACTAGTCAGCTAGGCCTGTGGGACAGCTAGGTCAAGTGCAAGGAGGCTGGCTTGCGTCGATGATGGAGATTAATCATAAGCAGCTCTTAACTGTAGGAGACAGAAAGGTGATATCATCTCTGTGCCTTTCAGAAGGATTTGTGCCACTTACGGCACAGCCAGAAATACAATTTAGTATTTAAAAGGTTGTTTCAGTATTTAAAGTTTTGTTTTCAATATGGCAGAAAAAGGGGTTTATCAGTATCACATCAGCGAAAGAATGGCAAAAAGCAAGCAAAATGTTTCTTGGATAATAAAAAACATTTAGATAATAGGGAAATGACTGATGTATTCAAATTTCACTCGGGCATTTGCCAATGAAGAAATTAACAGCATGCCTCAGGCTAAGGAATGAGAATTCTATATTAAAATAATATTAAGGTATTCAAAATATTTAAAGGCATTCACAAAGTTAATCCAATTGAATGGAAAGTGTATCGATTGTGGGAGAATGGAACAAGAATAACTGGCCATATTGACAAATCACAGTTGTCAATATTGCAGCTTCTTTGAAAAAAAAAACAATATTGGTGAGATCATTGAATCAAGCAAATAAACAAGCTAGAAGGGCCAAAAAGCATCCTCTGTTTCTAATCTTTCTTATGTTCTTATCTATATTTGAAACTATCAGGGAAGAGTTTGTGTTTGTAAGGAGCAATGGCCTGGAGCATAGCACAGTAGGATATTGTTCTATTTTACAGCAAGATTATACTGTAGCTCTTGGTTATATTTTATTAGTTCAGTAAACTGGAGAACAATTATTTTCTTTCTTCTATACTTTTCAATTAGACACAGTTTTAGCGGCAGTAATATGTTTCTTAGTTTAGAAGCCCTTTAGAATGTAACTGATCAAACAATGTGAAAGCAGGGAGAAAAATGTAGCTGTGTGGGCAAAAACTAACAATCTTCACATCTGATCCCATCGCTTCAGTACTTTTCTTTTTCTTCTTAAGTTTAAATTTTATGTCTAAAACCAAGTGTGGAATAAATAAGGTATAGATGGATTTTCAGTGACCAAATCCCATTTCCTTGAGTCTCATAACTGTGACTGTACTCTGATTTTACACTGAAAACTATTCAAGTAAGGTACATATTTCAGGCAGTTCCATGAAAAACTAGTCATCTTAATGAAGTGAAACTTTTCAGTAGAGTTTCCTGAACTAAATCATGCTAGAAGAAGTCTGGGTACACGTTAGATTGGAATCTTGCACTTTATCTCACCTACAAATAAATAAATTACATGTTGTCCACAACTCAGTGAGCATTTCACCAAACTTCCCTCCTTGCACAGCTGTACCCTTCACTCCAGTGGGTTGTGACAACTCTGAATTTCTGTCTTTTTTTAAAAGGGGACAGGGAGGTTAGGAACTGATTTATGATAAAGCAATGTCTACATCTTGCATTAAAGTGTAATAAAACGTATAAATACAGCACAAGGCAGCATCTCTAACATTGGGGATAAAGGTCTTATCTAAAGAGATCATCCTCTGAAAAATGCCAGCTCTAAATGCATTTTAATCCATCAAATGAGTCTTTCAAGAAAAACCTTGAATGATTCAAAATGTATTTTGCAACAATACAGTAAATTAAATCACAGCAAAAAAAAAACAACCATAAAACAGAACACAGAGAAGATTGCAGATTGTACCTCAGCACTTCCAGAACGGTTCAATTTAATATCAATAATTGTGGTACCCCTTCCTGGAAAAGCAGAAATATCAACCGCAGCTAACTTTGGAGTGTACTGCAAAGCAGGGTATACAATATACATATTGGAAAAACTGCAGGAAAAAAATGGAAAGTCTAATGCTGTCAAATCCTAAAGTTTTTAGCAGTGGGGGGCTAGCATTGTCCAGAAAGCACTTCTTAAAGGAGTTGCCCTTAAAGGCATGTACAACCATGATTTTGTTTCATAGTATTTTCAGCTATGGTATTACAGTAGGTCATTGAATTTTCACACTTTATTTCAACATAGATTTTTAAAACATACTGTATGCTGTAGGACGTGCTTGTCAATGATTGTTTCAATTATGAAACTGTTAAAGGATTAATAAAGCAGCTCTAAAAATGCAGGGACATGAACATGTAATTTTCTATCCAGTACCTATTATCTAGTTCCACATTATTATCTTTAAAAAGCTAAATAAAATCTAACACTGTTCTCAAAAGACTTATTCAAAGCTGATTGCAATTGTAGCTAAAGCAATAAATGTGAAATATTTTAGGAGCATAATTCATTTATATGTGTTTGTTCTAGACATCTTTGTTGTTTTTAACAGACAGTGTAAATTGTTACATTTGAATCAGTACAGCACTGTCTGCTAGTAGTACTTTGTGGAAGACATGGTGATACAGGATAAATAGAGACATTTTACAGATTGTGGTATCACCTTTTTCAATAAAAATATTGAAAAGATATCGGAGCTTTGTATGAAGGATTCTTCAATTACCCATCTGATATTGAAATTACCACTTTATCAAATCTCTGTTGGTTCTTGATGAATAGCAGTTGTTCGCACAGTTCTCTTCAGCATTAAAGAGCTGAAGCCAACTTTCTGTCTGGGAGGATTTGAGAGAACAATACAGTTAAAATAATTTGTGGAGCTAACATGATCTGAAGTCTTAACAAATGCACACATTTGCATCAGAACAAGACGTTTTTAAAAATATTTAATGCATGAATTGCTAGAATGTTCAGACTGAAGCTAACAATCTCTATTTATATTTCAATCCTTAATGATATGACACTGAGATAATAAAGATTTTTTCCAAGCAATTAAAGTTATTTATCCATTTCGAAGTAAAGTAATAAGAGTGGGTAATAGTTTGTTTATTTAAAACCAAAAGCAAACGTTTCACAGAATCATTCATTTAAAGAATGAATCTAATGTAACTTTACAAGAGGTTTCTTACTTGTATGACTTCATTTTAATAATTTATTATACAGCTGCCATTCAAATTCTAATGGCTGAGTTAAATGGAAAAAAAAAGTCCAGAAGGCTGTGTTCTGGGAAACCTTTCTGTTATTGTTTGCCTTTTATGCTACTTTCAGTATATGGTTTGATGTTATGTTTTATTCAGGTTCTTGAGAGAAATATCCAGTAGATGGAGGTAATAAGCCTTTCATATCCTCCCTGAGATTCCAGTAAGATACAAACAAGGAAAAACAAACATTTATATCAAAAGCAAAATAATGCTGTCTTAGTTCTGATAAGATCATTCATGAAAAGTGCTTCAAAATAAATAAAACATTTTATTTTCTTAGCTAGCGGGGAAAAAATATGCCTGTTATATTTCATAAATGTTAACCTGTAACCTGGTTTCCCTGTTAGCAGGAAGAAATATACCTGCTTTATAACTCTTATGCCATATAAAAATAACTTATATAGAATAAGAGGTCATTTTCTAAAACTATATATTACTTTTCACAGACATTCTGTAGATTGTATGTGTCATACAGTACTTACTTCAGAAATTGGTGCATTACAAATGCTTTGGTCACAAACTTTTATCGTAGGATAAACCACTGTTATTTACATTAACATGTAAGCTCACAGTAAAAAAAAAAAAACCCTTCCCGCCCTTGATGAGTGAAGTAATCTGTGTTTACTGTTTCATTTGTTGAACCATCTGTAGCTAAACCTACTCTTCAAGTTTGAACTATGGATTAAATCTGCAAACATACAGTATATTAATGTTTAATTATGATCTTGATGATCAAGTACAACTCATACTAAAGCATGACCCATCTGGCTGAATTCCTCATGTTAGCAACCCCTCCCCCTCTCTTTTCACATTTCATCTGTGGCACTCCCTCCTCCATCTCACCTTCATCTTTTGGAGCTAACCCTTGGTCACTTTTTACTCTGCAGGGGGTCCCAGACTCCTTGTCTTCAATGTCGTCACTGCTTTGCAGTTGATCACTAAAATGATATTGCACCTATGTTTTTGAGTGGAGCATACTGTGCAGTACCTCAATGTCAAATTGCAATATCGAAAAATTCAATATACGATCTAAATATAGTGCACACTTGTATTAGCTGCAATAAAAGTTACTGGAAATTACGTACATGGAGTCATTCAGATTGAAACGTATTTTAATCTGGCCTGTCTTGTTTCATTTTTTACAGTACTTGTTTATTTGCTTTCAAATATATTACGAGACTATGGCTTTAAAGCAGAAAACAAAACACCACAAAGCTAGGCATGGCATCATAAAGAAAACAAGAACAAAAGGCAGCAAAACAACTGTATATAAAAAATATTTTAGATTATAAATGTAAGAAATATATTAGACTTATTGGCTTTAATACTTGTATATAAAATCAAATACAAATGTAAAAATTCTAAATGCAATTTTAGTTTAAGAGCCCCTTAAAATTCCTTTACTCTATCTGAGCATCCTTGAGATCATAGGTCTGGTGATCAAAATGACTGGTAGAACTGTTTTTCTATTTATAAGTTTGCTAACTCTGTACTATGGAAGTGAATTCATTGTTAATATTATTTTTAAAACCACAGTCATTTCATTTTCCATTACAGCAATAATGACAAAGTGTTAATGGGAAATGTACTATAGTTAAAACAAACTTGTCAAAGCTCTTCCTGAATTACTACAATAAGTGAACGAGTTAAAGAATTGATTGCATAAAATGTTAATGAAAAAGGTGGAGTACTGTTGTGTATGATTTTTTTTATTTTTTATTTTCATCTACTAACTACCAGATATAAATATTTATAGTATTTATTTATATTCACTAATACCATTTATTAAATTCAGAAAATATTATACTCTGGATATTTTTATTTTCAGCTGCCAGGATTTCCCTTTAGTGTCATGATTCAATATTAATATTCCATATTAAGTGGATTTAAAGTAGTACGACAGATTAAATGAAGCTACTGTTTCGCTCATACAGTATCTACTGCCCCTCAGGTGGCATCTATTGATCTTCAGGCAGTGAACAGCTAATTTCGTCATGCTGAATAATACCGTGATACAATGCAGCTACCTTACTGTGGACACACGTTTGGATGTGCATTCTAAATATCTGCATCGGTTTATAAGAACATAAAATCACTCATTAATGAAAGGAGGTCATTAGGACTATCTACGCCATTTGGTAGTTAGTTGGTAATTGACCGCATTCAGCCTTTTCTTGAAATAAGTCATAGTATCAGCTTCAACAACGTGCTTTTAGTTAAGGGAGTAGTTTGTGACATACTCCCTTAATAACCTGTTGGATAAAGATTTGCCTCCTCTTCTCACATTTAAATGCACTTTTAAATGCCCTTAA